ATCCAGTGCTTTTGAGTTCATGATGTAAAAAATAAAGTATAGCCTTTCAATTGCCTGCATGAGTTTTAATGGACCAATATCATTTTTTTTAATGTGACAGAGGGTACTTGTATTCCCCAGAGAAAGACAGAGACAAAGAGAGGTAGAAAGCACCTCCAAATGCAGATACGGTCATGGTGTGATCCCTTCTCCATTCTCCATCCTGTTGGGATGCATGCACATGCATCCAGAGTAATTTTCAAGCCTTGGAGGCTGAGATTCAAACCATGTGGTTGGCCGTGTGGGATCTGGCTGCCTTTACCACCAACCCATGGAGCTGGCCCTGGACCAATGTAACTTTTAACAAACAACTTGCAACTTCCCCTCTTTTTACCCTTCTCTTTGGCACATATACCAGCATTTTTGGTTGCCATTTGGATGAGTATATTAGAAAGCAGAGTTTAATCATCCTAATAATTTATGCTAAGCCCCGACTCATATAAACCACTTTTATTTCACTTATTATGCCTCAGCATTCTTTCTGTGATAGAACATAAAACTGGCTCACTCATTAACATGACATTACTTGGGCCAGCTTGTAGCCTGGTGGTTAAGGGGGTTTGTTCTCACACGATCTACTGCACAGTTCAAGATCTAGACCCAGAAGCCTGAGAAACACACCAAGTACACATGTTTACATGCCCAAAATCCTGAAAGGAGAGAGGAATGGAGGAGAAGGGATTGTGATGTGACCATACCCCCTGAGAGGTGCTTTCTTGCTTTCCCTCTTTCTTCCTGTCTCTGGCAAGCACGTGCACCCTCTGACAAAAATTAAAAAAATCACTGGACTCCCATGTAGTTGACTGCAGTTCAAGTCCCCGACCCAGAGGCTTAAAACTCACACCAGATGGATGTGTGTGCATGCCTAACATCCCAAAAGAATAATGGAAGAGAAGGGATTGCAGCGTGTTCATCCCCCTGGGGTGTGATTTCTTGCTTTCTCTGTTTCTCTCTCTCTCCAGCAAGTGCATGTACCCTATAGCAAAGACCTCACTCTAAAAATAAATAAATATACATGAGTCATCTTTTTAACTCTTTTAGAATTATACCTCCTTAAAATATACGTATATTTGGGACCAGCAGTTGGCGTAATGACTCTGTCACTGAACTCCCATGTAGTAGACTGCAGTTCGAGTCCCAGACCTAGTGGCTTAAACTCATGCCGGGCGCGTGTGCGTGTGTGCCCAATATCCTGAGAGGAGAATGGAGGAGAACGGATTGCAGCATGGCCATCCCCCTTGGGGAAATGATTTCTCGCTTTCTGACTCTCTGTCTCTTCTGTCTTTCTGACGAGCACACACACCCTATAGCAAAAACCTCTCAAAAAAAATGTGTATATATATATATATTTAAAAAGTAGTACTTATGACATGAGAGTGCTGGGTGATCAGACCCAACCTGTGCTAGTTCTTGTCTGACATTGAAGAAAAATTTGAAATGTGGACAAAAAGTGGTCAGCAGATGGTGTAGTAATGTCGCTGAATTTCCGTATGGTGGATGGTGGTTCGAGTCCCAGATCCTGTGGCTTAAAAATCACATTGGTTGTGTGTGCCCACGTGGGTGTCCAAGATCCTGGGAGGAGAAGGGATTTTTCCATAGCTATCCCCCCAGGGGATGATTTCTCATTTTCCCTCTCACTGTCTTTGTTTCTCTCTGCCAAGCACACATACCCTAAGACAATAACCTCTAAAAAAAATAAATAAATAAAATAAAATAAAGAAAGAAATGCAGAGAGGACAGTAAGCAAAGTTTATTAGGGAAGGAGAGAAAGCTTCCAGCTGAGTGGAAGGGGGACTTGACTACTCTCCCAAAGCAGGGGCAGGGGTCATTGTTATATGTTTCTTCAAGGAAGTACAAGGTTTCTCTTAATAAGTGTGGTAATCAATTATGTTGACAGCCTACACTCCCTGGCACCAGGGATCTCGGTAGTTAATATTTTATCTGACAACAGAGCTAAGCAGGCTTGCTCTTTGTTCTCTTCGAGGACATATAAATGGTTTTTGTTGTTCTAACTTCTCTCAAGCAGAACAGACCCTCATATTTCTTCCTTGTAATATTATATTGAGAAGGAAGTGAGCTCAGCAGACCAAGTAGACTTCTCAAGCAGGCCCAACACTATAGTGGCTGTAAGCAATTCTGTGTGAGCAAGCAGTGAGAGCTAATAACTGATTTCTAGTGAGAGGCATAAATGATTTCTATTAATGGCTTGACTACAGTTACCCCATCTTGCTTCATATTTTCTATCCTATGGACTCCTTATCCTATCTGTCTAGCCAGAGATCTTGCTCCTACCTCACTTACATGCCTGAGATATTCTGTACTAAACCCAGAAGAAGGAAAATGCATGGTGTGAGGGTAAAGAGAATCAGATTTTGCACTAAACAGTTTGTGTTGGAGCCTGTTTATTCTTGCTCAAGAGAACCAACTGTGTGTATTTCTTCTCCGTTGTGTTCGGTGTTTGATGACTTCAGACTAATTTGAAATGAACTATGATGACAGTGTTTACACCACAGAAATCGATGAACATGAACTAGGGATTTCCTCCTCTGAAGATCTAGTTGTTAAACATTTACCAGCACACTACTGTAAGATAGGTGTGAGAGGGACAAGAATATAAGTGTAAATATATGGGCATTGTTTCATAGGTAACAGCAAGTCATGAAGACTTTTGGGGTGACCAAGTGGGGGAGAATGAGCAGGTTTCCGACTTACCAAATTTATTTACTGAAAACTATACAGTCTATAGAGAAGATGAAGAAGAGAGTAGAGGCAAAAAGAACACTGAGAAAGAAGTGGCGTTATTTCAAGCCAGTGATAAGGGAATTATCAGTAGAGACAGACGAAGGCCAAAGAGAATCAGAGATTAAATCAAGAAGACCAAGAGTTGAAAGTAATTGAGGTTTCTAGCTCAGGGCACACCAGTAATCCAGATATAATATAGGTGCAACAAGGAGTTTTAGAGATATGAGTGTGTTGAATTTGTTGTCTGTAGTGTTTTCTTAGGAAATTCTGGTTTAGGATTCATCAGTAATTAATGATAACTAAAGCCAAGAACAAGAAAAATCTTAATCAAAGAGCTTGTAAGAAGTGAAGAAAGCAAAAAGCAGCTTAAAGGAGAAAAAGTCAATAAATAGAAAGAGAGAGAGAGGATTGAATGAGCATATTTTAAAAGATGAGAGAAATAGAAATGATAGCTGCTCTGAGATGCAAAATTTATAAAATATTCTTGGGGACCAGCAGGTGGTGTAATGACTTTGTTGCTGGATCCCATGTAGTTGACCATGGTTGGAGTCCTGGAACTGGAGACTTAAAATTCACACCAGGCAGGTGTGCGTGAGTGCCCAAAATCCCAAGAGGAGATTGGAGAAGGGATTGCGCCAGCGGCCATCCTCCCAGGGAAGAGGAGTGATTTCTTGCTTTCTGTCTCTCTGTCTCTCTGGTGAGCACACACACCCTATATCAAAAATCTCTCAAAATATTAAAAAATATTCTGTACTTGTTTAGAGTAAGAAATTTTACCACCTTAATATTAAGTTGGAGAAAACAGAATGATTACATTTGGAAAGAGTAAACTTTAAGTATGTAATAAATATTTTGATACTAAGGGACATAGACACCAATAGAATACAGTGCCCAATTTCAAGGAGGTTGACATCTAGGCACGTTAACAGACTATGACTGTATTGAAAAAGAGGATGGTGGGGCCAACTGTTGATGTGGTGGTTGAAGTGCCAGGATCCCATATGACTAATGACATAGGATGCATGTGTGTGCTCAAAATCCAGAAAAGGAGAGAGAGATGGGATTAAGGCATGAACTTGCCCCCATGACAGAGTGTTCTCACTCCTCCCCTCCCCTGCAAGTCTCTGGCAAAGTAAGAAGAAAAAAAAAAAGCATGGTGATAATAATAATAATAACCACTGCCATGTACTTGACTTTTATCATTTACTTTTCATTAAACAATTCTGCGAGGGGATGTTGTATTATTCCATTTTACTGGTGAGGAAGCTAAGGCAGCATTGTTAGCTAACCTATCCAGGATGTCTAGTGGCAGAGCCAGAGTTTGACTCAGTATGGAATCTAGATGTTTCACCCTAAACCACTATCTCTTTTATTTGTAGATGCATATGTATAAATATATACATTTATATATTGTATTTACATATGTATATATACGCTATTGGAATAGCTTTACTCACTAGTGGAGAAAGCAGCCTGTAAACATTAACCATTATCATCAGTATCGCAAAAAGCTACGCAGGCATTTTGTGGTAGAGTCCAGGTTCAAATCCAAAATTCATACTCTTAAGGATTATGATACATAGTTAGCCTTGAGTATTACAGAAACAGTAGGGGGGGGCACTTAATTCCAGAAAGGGGATGGAGAGGGAGCATGTCAGATGTCAAGAACCCTTTTTTAGATGAAAAAGAAGTATAAATTTGGTCTCGAAGAAGAACTCGGCAAGGGAAGAGGGGAGTTATGAATGTTGGGGTGGGGGGAAGCCAGGCAACGTTATGTCATTCAAAATGACTGGATTTCACAGCAGGATGGGGAGTGGCCAGGAAGGAGGCTAAAGAGATTTCCTAGCGAGGTCCGTGGTACGAATGGTTTTGCACTTTCTTCTTCAAGAAATGTCACTGTCCGAATAAATACTGTTCAAACACACACAACACACACTCACGTACACGTATGCAGTCGGGTCGCTACAAGCGTTAGGAGAAACTTGCAGACGCGAGTCAATCTACGCAAAGAACAAATACGAACTGGATGAGAAAGCACTTGATAGTTTCTGCTCTGGTCGCATTTCGGCACCAAGTAAACAGGTCGTGCGTGGAAACTCAGCGCGTGCTCACTGACAAGTACCGCTGTTCCGCGGTCCTCGGCTTCCGGCGTCCTCCGTTGCTACGGCGACCGAAAGCGCGCCCTAACGCCCCGCCCAGTAAACCATAGAGTGCCGGAAGACGCTCGAGCAGAGAGGTCGGGAAGAGGCGGCTGAGGCTGTGGCGCGGTGGGTGATAAGATGACCACCTTGGTGCTGGATAATGGAGCCTACAACGCCAAGATCGGCTACAGCCATGAAAACGTCTCGTAAGTGTCCGCTTTCTGCGGGACGAGACACGTGGGCCCTGTAGTTTCACACGCTACGCTTCCTTTCGGACGTCAGTGACCTGCAAACGCCCCTGCGCGACTCTTACTTGAGCCCGAGGGGTGCCTTGGTTGGAGCTGGGTGGGTGATTGTGATGCACTGAACTGGAATTGATTTTGGCTTGAGATAGATTTGACAGAGAGGTCCCGGAAGTGGCATGTATGTTTTCATTTCGTAGTAGGGAATAGCTAAGGAAAATAGGGTTCTAAAGATGCGTTCGTTATAGGGGGTGCCTCGTAGACAAAGTTGATGGCCTTCAGAAATTGTGGGCAACATTTTGGGTGTATATGTATTTTCCTGTGGACGCTATTATACCTTTCATCAGATCTTCAGACGGTTCCATAGCCCAGAAAGTCTAAAAGGCACTCTCGTGGGATTTAAAGACTTGAAGGCATTGTCCCACTGACTGATCTGTTTGATAAGGTCAGTTAAGCAGAAGTACTTACAATGGCATTTGTAAAAAGTACAGTCATAAAATTATATGACTGAATAGGCAAACTTAAAGATACATTTTCCCTCTATCAGATTCACAGAGGTTTTAATTTTTTTCTTCCTGTTCTATTTTTCTTTCTTTCTTCTTTTTTTTAATAAGGAAATCAAATTGAGTAAAAATGTAAATTGTTGCAGACCTTCTGGAAAACATTTTGGCAATGAGTATCATTGTTCATATCCTTTGACACAGCTGTTCTATTGTACTATCATTTACCTAAGGAATTAAAAGTATTTGGTGGGAACCAGCAGTTAGCGCAATGGCTATGTCGCTGGACTCTCACGTAGGTGACCACAGTTCGCGTCCCTGACCCGGTGACTTAAAACTCACGCCGGGAGCGTGTGCGTGCGTGCCCAAGATCCCGAGAGGAGAATGGAGGAGAAGGGATTGCAGCGTGACCATCCCCCCTGGGGGGTGATTTCTCGCTTTCTGTCTCTCTGTCTCTCTGTCTGTCTGGTGAGTGTACGCGCCCTATAGGGAAAACCTCTCAAAAAAAAAAAAAAAAAAGTACTTGGTAAGAGTATGTAGGATGCCAGTATTGTTATTGGACATTGTGTGCAGATACCAAAAAAATGTTGGTTGTGGGGGAAACAGGCTAAATAATATTGAGTAAATGCATTATAAAACAACCATGGGATCGGCAACAATATAGCTACTTAAAATTAGCTCCCTAAAGAATAGTTAAGCATATAGAGAAAAATGCTGACAGCATAGTAAGTGAAACAAGTAGGTACAAATCAGTTTTACAGTATTATCCTAGTATCATATGTATTTGAATGCCTGCATCTTCATATAATGGTTCTAGTTTATGTACATAACTGGACTGTATGCTCATGGTGGGCAGCGACCATATTCCTAATTCTGTTACCCCATAGTAGTTTCCTGATTGGAACTTTTGACTTCTTGGAAGCTTAATTTTATGGTCAGAATTTTGAATTTGTGATATTTTAAAAACCAAAATGTTATTAAAATTTTTCATATTATACCCAGAAAGAGTAGGACCTTTACTAAAGCCCTGGCTCTCACTTTCACAGTGGAAGAACCAATACCCCCCTATAGGGATTTCTTTTTCTTTATTTCTTTCTCTCTTTTTTTTTTTTTCTTCTCTCTCTCGTTTTAATCTTTATTTTGACCATAGAAAGACACACGGAGAGAAATAGAGGGAGAGAGAGAGAGAAAGCAAGCTGCTAAGTCTGGGACTAGAACAGGGGTCAACATGTGAGAGTCCAACACCTTAACCACCATGGTATCTGCCAGCCCCACCTGTAGGAATTCTTGAAGATTATTTGAGGAAAAGTAAGGGCCCACCATAGAATCTGTTACATAGTGGAAGCTTTGTATTTTTTTTGAGAGGTTTTCGCTAGAGGGCACGTGCGCACGCCAGAAAGACAGAGAGAGACAGAGAGGTAGAAAGAGAAAAATCACCCCCCAGGGGGGATGGCCACACTGCAATCCCTTCTCCTCCATTCTGCTTTCAGGATCTTGGGCACGCACGCACACGCGCCCGGCGTGAGTTTAAGCCGCTGGGTCCAGGACATGAATCGCGGTCGACTACATGGGAGTCCAGCGACAAAGCCATTGCACTAACTGCTGGTCCCTACAGTAGAATCTTAAAAAGAAGCATTCTTTTAATTATTTGAAGACAAAAGAAGAAAAACTAGGTTGGATATGCAAATCTATTGGCATCAAGGATGGTGGTTAAAGTTATTTTTAGAAACTAAATATACATGGAATAATGGTAGTATTTGTTTCTTTGTTTCTAGGGTTATTCCTAACTGTCAGTTCAGGTCAAAAACAGCACGTCTGAAAACTTTTACTGCTAACCAGATAGATGAAATTAAAGATCCTTCTGGACTCTTTTACATCCTTCCTTTTCAAAAGGTAACTCAATTTTGTGTCATTTCTAAATGACCCCCCTTTTAAAAAAAATTATTTAATTGTATTTATTCTTTTTTTTTTTTTTTTAATTTGACCAGAGAGAAAGAGAGAGAAAGTGAGATAGCAAGCTACCAGATCTGGGACTCAAACCGTGGTTAGCCATCATGTGGGAGTATCCAGTGCAGTAACTACTATGCCGCCTGCCAGTCCCCCCACCCTTTTAAAAATTTAAAAGGAAAAAAAACACACCAATACGATTAGTTTGAGTTCATACAGTATTAGAATGAAAAAGGAAACCATAAAGAGATAGAAATCAGTGATTTAGAATATATTAATCTAACTTTTCTTTTTAATTGACAGAGGTGGATGAGCTTCCTAAAGAAAGAGAGAGAGTGAGAGGAAGCCCCTGCTAATGAGGCATGGTCACACCACAGTCCTTACTTCATTAATCCATCCTGTCTGGACTCTGAGCACATATGCACATGTCCAATATGTTTTTCAAGCCACTGGGGTTGAGATTCTAACCACGGTCAGCCTTACGAGATGTGGCTCCCTTACCCATTGGGCCACAGGGCCAACACTATTAATGATTTTTAAAAATTGTTAAAATGTGTTTAGCCATGGTGGCACATTGGAATCACAGGGCTTTCTGATGCTGGATCCATATGGTGGATTGAGGGTTCAGTTCCCTGGTCAATCTGTACACACTGGACTTACACAAATATACCCATGACCCTGGCTGGCTGAAAAAGCTGTGGGGGAGAATCCAGGATGAAACCCTGTTGAGGATAACCTCTCTTTCTCTGTCTCTCATATGAAATAACTATATAAATAAACTTTATAGAAGTTCAAATATTCTTGACAATTAAATTTATAAAATATTTTTTAGGGCTACTTGGTTAATTGGGATGTTCAAAGACAAGTTTGGGATTACCTTTTTGGAAAAGAAATGTATCAGGTAACAAATTATGAGTATGTATTCAAATTGTATATCTATATCTTATTTGAATGGAAACTTAGAATTTGTGTTTTAAGATTCATGAACCAACATGTTTTTAGTTCATATAGAAGTCACTTTATAACTTTGCCTAACTTTGACTTTTCAAAATATTTAATAAGTGAATGGAAAGAATAGAGGTTGAGTAGAGATAGTCTATATGAAAGATTAAAATTTTACTTCAGATTTCTACTATTATTAGGCCAATTGACTATCATGTTTAATTTTCATGATAAAATATTTTTGTTTACAAATCTGAATTTGTGACCATTACACGAGAATTTTGTGCTTTTAACATCTACAGTGTAGCTGTAGGAATCCTGAGAGAATATTCAAATTTTAATACTTCTCCAGAATGTGCAGGAGAGAATTAGGTAAATATTAAATATCTTGGAACATCTTCCCTTTTATTTTATTATTTCTATTTTTCTTTTTTTTTTTTTTTTGGAGAGGTTTTTGCTATAGGGCGCATGTGCTCACCAGACAGACAGAGAGAGACACAGAGAGACAGAAAGTGAGAAATCGCCCCCCAGGAGGGATGGTCACGCCGCAATCCCTTCTCCTCCATTCTCCTCTCAGGATCTTGGGCACGCACGCACACGTGTCTGGCGTGAGTTTTAAGCCCCCAGGTCCGGGACGCGAACCGTGGTCGACTACGTGGGAGTCCAGCGACATAGCCATTACGCTAACTGCTGGTTCCCAGTTTTTTTTTTTTTTTTTTTTTATTTCTCTTAAGGTCTTTGTTTTTGGCACTCACTAGAGAGAAACAGGGAGACAAGACAGTGAGAAGGAAATGGAGAAATTACCCCTCAGGGATGATGATCATGACACAGTCCATTCTCCTCCATTCTCCTCCTAGGACTTTGGGCATGCACACACATGTGCCTAGCATGATTGTTAAGCCATCAGGTCCAAGACTCAAACCATGGTCAGCCATGTGGGAGTCCAGTACTGTTACCACTACACCATCGCTGACCCTGCCTTTTTCCTTTTGAAAAAAATAAAAGCTCCAGTACTTCTGTTAGTAATATCATTCATTATTATTATGTTTAAGCAATTAGACAGTACCATTTTATTAGCTACCATTAAAAGAGAGAAAATTGCATAATAAAGTACATTGATTCTTTAACCAAACTCCCTAGATTCAACTCCTAGCTATGTCACTGAGCAGCTAAATGAATGCCTTAGTTTGCTCATCTATTAAATGGGGTAAGACTACATTAGGATTATTATGAGGATTAAATAATTTTGTTTATATATGTAAAACTTCATTTATATATTTCAAAACTTTTTTTTTCCTTCCTATAGGTAGATTTTTTAGATACTAACATTATTATCACAGAACCATATTTTAACTTCACTTCAATTCAGGAATCAATGAATGAAATTCTATTTGAAGAGTACCAATTCCAGGCAGTATTAAGAGTAAACGGTGAGTTAAAGTTCTCATTGAAATTGAGTTATTGCTACCTTTTTTAATAAATTAATGTTATACTTTTATTTAATGTGCTCATTTCTTCCTTAATCTTTTTTTGTCTTAATAGCTGGGGCTCTCAGTGCACATAGGTATTTCCGAGACAATCCTTCTGAATTATGCTGTATCATTGTCGATAGTGGATATTCCTTTACACATATAGTTCCATATTGTAGAAGTAAAAAGAAAAAAGAAGCAATTATTCGGTAAGTTCCAACTGAATTTTCATGTTATTTCGTAGGATGAAATTGACTGAAATGCATGAAAACTGAACCAAATTTGAATTCTCTCTTAGGATAAATGTGGGAGGAAAACTCCTAACCAATCATCTAAAGGAGATCATATCTTACAGGTAATATTTAGCTTTGATCCTTTGGGAGGATGGGGTACAGGGAATGATCTTTTTTTTTTTTTAAATTTATTTTTTGAGAGAGAGGGAAAGTGAGAAAGCACTCTCCTTGGGGGTAGTCATGCTGCCCTCCCTTCTTCATTTCTCCTTTTGATGTTTTGGGTGTGCATGCACACATGTGCATGTTTTCCAAGTCACCAGGTTTGGGATTTGCAGTTAGCCTATTGGACCCAGCCTCCTTAACCAACATGCTACTGAATGATCCTATAATCTTTATTTTTTTACATTAAGCCTGTGTTTTCTCTGATTCACTGATTAGATGTTTATAAAACACCTTCTTTGTACTACGTACTGTGTGCTGACTTAGTACTTCTATCATCAGAAAAGAAAGGCACAGAGTTAAAGCATTGTTGCAAGATTCTGAGGGTAGAATTAGTAAAGTTTGGTCTTTACTTAGATAAATGTTACCACTTTGTACAAATATATTTAGGGCCAGCTACATGACATGGTTAAGGCAGCTGGATCCCACGTGTCTCACTGTGTGGTACAAAAAAGTAGCTTGTAAAACCCACTAGGCTCTCGTGTGTGTGCCCAAAATCACAAGAGGAGAATAGAAGAGAAGGGATTGCAGTGCGTGATCCACCCCTCCCCCCCACCTGGGGGATGGTTTCTCACTTTTTTTCTCTCTCTCCTTGGCAAACAAACATGCCTTAGAGTAAATGTAAATAAATAAATAAATAAGTGAATATATTTTAAGTGGTAATTGTAAGTTATACATTTTTCCATTTTAAAGTTTCTATTTTCATTTCTGCTAGGCAACTACATGTAATGGATGAAACACACGTGATTAATCAAGTGAAAGAAGATGTGTGCTACGTATCTCAGGATTTTTACAGAGATATGGATATTGCAAAGTATGTTTAATGGTAATTGAAGAACTGGAAAGTTGATTCTTGGGTAATGTTACACTTAATTAAAAATACCTTATATAAATCTGTATTTTGTTTTCCAGATTGAAAGGAGAAGAAAATACAGTAATGATAGACTATGTTTTGCCTGACTTCAGTACAATTAAAAAGGGCTTTTGTAAGGTAATTTTAAATATCATTAATGGCATTTCTTCATATGACCACTTTAGTCAGATTTGAAAAGTTTTTTTTTTGAAGAATTATTTTAGATAACTTTATTTGCTTATTTATTCATTTTATTTTATATTTGACATAAATGGACAGAGTGAGAGTAAGAGAGAGAGAGAGAGCAAGCCGCCAGGTCTGATACTGAAACCGTGGTCAGCCATATGGGAGTCTAGTGCCCTTAACCCCACCACACCACCTTCCGGCCCCAGATTTGAAAAGTATTTTACATCCAGCTGGGATCTCTCTTAGAGAGTTGTTGAAGACTGCCTTTTTGGTGGCCATTTTTCCAGGCACAACTTTATAAATTTGATTAAGAAATTTCTCACTGGGCCAGTAGGTGGCATGGAAGTTAAGGCATTGAATCCCACATGGCCGGCTGTGCTGTTCAAGTCCCATACTTGATGGCTTGAAATCGCTATAGGTGCATGTGCGCCCAAAATCCTGAGAGGAGACTGGAGGAGGAGCAGGGATTGTGGCATGGCCATCCCTCATGGGGGATAATTTCTCACTTTCTCCGCCTGCAAGTGCACATGCCCTATAGCAAAAACTACAAAAAAAAAAAAAAAAAAAAAAGGAAAGAAAGAAAGAAAAGAAGAAAACCTCACTAAATTTAAAATAACTATTAGCCAAAGGGTAACAAGTGACATCTGGAGATAAATATTATCATTATCTATATTGCAATTGACCCATTTCTGTTTACTCAAGAATTATTTTAAATCCAGCTATAAACCAGTTCTTTTTTCTTTCTTTTTTTCTGAAAATTACTGACATAGCTGGCTTGAATTTTACTCATATGTAGTTTGATATGCTCGGATTGTAGTTGAAAGGGGAAAAATGCAGTGTACTTTCACAAAGTATTGAGAAGCAGAAGCAGTTTTCTTTTTTTTTTTTTTTTTTAGTTTGCTAGCGGGTATGTATGCTTGACAGATTGAGAGTATGAGAAATCATCTCCCAAGAGGGATGGCCATGCTGCAGACCCTACTCCTCCATTCTCCTCTTGAGATTTTGGGTATACCTGCACATACATTCAGTGTGATTTTCAAGCTCCTGGGTTTCGGACTCAAATCGCACAGTGGGCATGTGAGATCCACTCGCCTCAACCACCGCACCACTGTCTGGCCCCAAACTGATCATTTCTTTAATGGGAGCAGAATTAAAATTTATTACAGCCATGCCCTCATCATGGCCTATGCCAAATAGCAACTCTCAGCCGTCCTTATAAGGTCCTTTATTTTCTGTGTCGAAAACAAAAATATTTTTTAGAACTATTCTCTCAAAAATAAGCTACTTATAGTCCCAGATCATATATTAATGATTAATAGCTTTAGTGCCAACACACAACAGGTATATCTAGTTCTGCCTTTCTGTTCTAGTTAGATATTTGAGCCTGAGTAACTTGTATGATACCCTTTTATAATACAAGGCCATAAAGTAGATAACCTTTAATGTTTTGTTATCTGAAATTCTCGAAATCTGCATTTGCCTCAGATTATTTTGGGTACTGACAAAATGAGTTATAGCCCTTAAACACAAGTCAATTTCAGTTTTAATGAATTTGTAAATTTATAGGAAATATTTTCTATCTGAGAAGAAAGTCTTCTTTGAGGAATAAATGTTCTTCTCTTTGTTACTAAAGTAATAGTTTAATTGGGATTTAAATAATATTCTTCTCTTTGTTACTATAGTTAATAGTTTAATTGGGATTAAAGTGATTTAGTTTTTCTTGTCCTTCTGCTAGTATTATAAATATAATTTTTTAGGACTTTTTAATATAAAAAGTAATGTTTTGAGCATGGACTTTCCAAATGATAGCAATCTGAATCATTCACTTCCAGGTTAAGTGTGGCAATGTAGTGGCTGGAATATTTTATAAGTGCATTGTGTGAATGACCTTGAGCAAGTTATGTAACCTTGACAGTTGCAAGCCCAATTACATCATTAATTTAAAAAGGCAATATATTGGCCAAGCTCTGCATCATCCAGGGCCTCATTGCCATGGCTGCCCATGGTGGCACCGCCCTCGCTGGTGAGGTTCTACACTACGCCACACACTCACCACTCTCAGTCAAACAACCTCACGTGGGTATTGATCAGGGACTGGTTGCTATGCATTTCAGATCCAGAAACCTCTAGAACAAGTAATCACAGAAACTGCAAAGAAGATTACTACTCCTGAAGATTACTACTCCTATCCTTTCATCCTACTAAAATGGAGGATTTGAACAGAAAATGAGTAGACACGAAGCTAGTCTGATTTTAGGTGTAAGCCCATCTGCTGGTAAGGCCAAGATTAGAACAGCTTGGAGCTATCAGGTCGTGTGGTTGTTGAAGGTATTGGGCTCCCACATGGCTAACTGCATTTTGAATTCTGAGCCTGGTGGCTTGCTTTCTCACTTTCTCTCTGTCTCTCCTCTCTCTGATCAAACTGGAAAATAATAATAATAAATAAAGTTCAATAAAAAATGATTCTTTAAAATAAAAAAAAAAGAGATTAGGATAGCTCACAGAAGAATCATAATTTTGAATCACCCAGATAAAGGTGGGTTGCCTTACTTTGCAACCAAAATAAATGAAGCAAAAGCCTTACTAGGAGCAAGCACCAAACACTGATTGATGCTCAAGGACCGTGCTGTAGGAAACATAAGAGGGGACTTACAAAAAGGAAGACCTGCAAATTAATCTAAAACGCAATCTTCATAATATTCATTTTCATATGCATTGACCACAGTCTTTTCTTCTACCATAAAGTTATATAAACTCAAAAGAAAAAAGAAAAAAAAAGACAATGTATCTATCTCGGAGAGTTTTATGAGCATTCGATAAAGAAGGTGTACCTTACAAGGAATGTTAAATATAATGAATGGCATGTTGTTGGCCTACATGCCATTATTCAAGAATTTATTGAATGCCTACTGTGAATCTGGTAATAAGCTATGCTAGATAGCTAGTGAATATGGGATAGTAAACAATATAGGCTATGTAGGATAATTTAGGGAACAGTAGAGAATAGTTGATGGTCCATTTATTTGAGAATCAGAAAGAAACTGAGGGGACCAGCAGTTGTCATAATGGCTATGCTGCTGGACTCCCATGTAGTCAACTGTGGTTTGAGTCCCAGACCCAGGGGCTCAAACTCATGCTGGGTACATGTGCATGTATGCTCAAGGTCCTGAGAGAATGGAGAAGAAGGGATTGCAGCATGGCCATCCCAGGGGGCGATTTCTCACTTTTGGTCTCTTTCTTTTTCTGGCGAGCACGTGGGCCCTATAACAATAACCTCTCAAAAAAAAAAAAAGAAAAAAGAAAAAAAAAAAAACTTCTAAGGAAGCTGAAATCTGAATTGAGTATTGGTGACTATGTTAAGGAACCTATAATATTCATTAAGGAACCTTTACTATCCTTTATATATGGCAACAGCAGATGGCATAATGGTTACATCACTATGCTCCCACTTAGCCGACCATGGTTTGAGTCCTGTACCCAGTGCCTTTAAACTCATCCTGGGTACGCAGGTGTGTGTACCCCAAATCCTGAGAGGCAAATAGAGAAGGGATTGCAGTGTGCCCATCCCCTCTGTGGGTGATTTTTCATTTTTCACTTTGTGTCTCTCTGTCTCTCAGGTGAGTGCACGTGCCCTATACCAAAAATTTCTCTTAAAAAAAAAAGCCTTTATATACATTACTCCTTTTAAGAATTATTTTATCATTATTATTTTTTTTTTTTTGGAGAGATTTTCACTGTAGGGCACGTGCGCTCGCCAGACAGACAGAGAGAGACATAGAGACAGAAAGCAAGAAATCACCCCCCGGGGGGATGGTCATGCCACAATCCCTTCTCCTCCATTCTCCTCTCGGGATCTTGGGCACGCACGCACACGCGCCCGGCGTGAGTTTTAAGCCACCGGGTCCGGGACACGAACCGCGGTCGACTACGTGGGAATCCAGCGACATAGCCATTACGCTAACTGCTGGTTCCCATCATTATTATTTTTGAAAGAGATATTTGTTTATTTAATTCCATTTGTAATTACCATAATTTTTTAAATTTGACCAGACAGAGAAGGAGAGAAAGGAAAAATGAGAGAGCAAGCCACTAGGTCTGGGACTCTACCGTGGTCAGCCATGTGGGAGTCCAGTGCCTTAACTACCATGCCACCTGCTGGCCCCTATACAATATTCTTAATAATAAATTATTCATTTCTTTTCATATAAAGTATTCATATTTGTTTTTTAAAAAATACTTTCTGCTATAGGTTTTATGTTCTCCCTAGAGAGAGAGAGACAAAGAAAACGAGAAGCCACCCCCCTGGGGGGCTGGCCATGCTGCGATCCTCTCTCCATTCTCCTCCCAGGATTTTGGACATACACACACATACTCAAGTGTGAGTTTCACGCCACCATGTTCTGGGACTCGAACTAGAGTTGGCCATGTGTGAGTCCAGCACCTTAACCACTATGCCACCTGCTGTCCCCTAGGATTGGGATATATTTCATGTGAGAGGAAATGTACATATATATTGGGTCGTCAGAAAAGTCATCGCACTTTTCTGTGTTTTTTCTAGGCAAAAATGCGTCATGACTTTGACCCAATAAGCCCAGGGAATGAATGTTTATGTCTGAATCTAGAAGAGCTGGTGATTCTTTGTAAAAATTGAGAAGCGCCATTATTTGATATAGAATGTTGTGGAAGGAAGGAGATTGTTTTTTTCTATCCTTTCAGGAACAAAGCTTACAGGATGGGTGGGTTAGCAGAAAATAAGTAACAGAAGACTATAAGTCATAGTTAACCTTTGTGTTATAAGTAGACCTCATATAGTGTTGGCATCATAAGGTAATTTTAAGGATACAGACTATTCAGTTGCTTAAATCACTTTGAAACCGATTTTTTTTTCTTTTTGGAAATATTTTTGCCATAGAGCACATGTATTTGCCAAAGAGACAGAGACAGAGAGAGAGGAAGTGTGAAATTACTCCCTGGAGGGATGGCCATACCGCAATTCCTTCTCCATTCTCCTCTCAGGATTTTGGGCATGCATGCACACCCACCTTGCATAAGTTTGAAGTTGCTGAGTCCAGGCCTCAAACTGCTATAAGCCATGTGGGAGTTCAGTGCCTTAACCACCATGCCACCTGTTGACCCTGGAAACTGATTTAAAAAAAAAAACGAAGTATTTATTTAATTTTATTTTTCATTATTATTTATTTTGACCAGAGAGAAAGGGAAAGTATGAAAGCAAGCTACTAGGTCTGGGACTTGAACCACATTTGGCCATGTGGGAGTCTAGTGCCCTAACCACAACACTTGCCCAGCCCTGAAACTGATTTTTTAAAAAAATTATTTATTCATTTATTTATTATTTTAATCTAACCATAGAGCGGGAGAGGGAAAGGAAAAAAGCAAGCTGCCAGGTCCGGGACTCGAACTGTGCCTGGCCATGTGGGAATCCAGCACCCTAATCACCATGCCACCTGCAAGCCCCTCTTTATTTTTATTTTCTCTTTTCTATTTTAAAATATATAGGATAAAACTGCCATATTATCTTCAGAGGAATAGTCATATGAAAGTTCAGTAATTACTTGTGTAGTTTTGGCAACAGAATGCTATGTTTTTCTAACTTTTGAGATCCTGAAATTTCCAAGAACATGGTTATGTTACAGATGATCCTCAAATTACAATTAGGTTATATCCCTATAAATCTAAGAAGAAAGTGCATTTGAATACACCTAACTCTATAGAGTATTGGTTGTTTACAAGCCCTTTTGATTGAGTGGTAGACTAGGAGCTGTAGCTCGACTGCTGCTGCCCAGTATCATGAGAGAGTATCATGTTGCATATCGCTAGCCTAGAAGAAGAATTAAAATTCAAAATTTGAAGAATGGTTTTTATAGGATGCATATCACTTTGCAACATCATAAAGTCAAAAACCCGTAAGTTAAACCATGTAAGTCAGGGGTTGTCTGTACTTGTATTATATATTACTATTATCATGTAAGCTAATGTAGCTTAAACTTTTTGTCTTATATTCCTTTAAGCCAAGGGAAGAGATGGTATTGAGTGGAAAATATAAATCTGGAGAACAGATCCTTCGTCTGGCCAATGAAAGATTTGCTGTTCCAGAAATACTCTTTAATCCTTCTGATATAGGAATTCAAGAAATGGGAATTCCAGAAGCTATTGTCTACTCAATTCAGAACTTACCTGAAGGTACATTCATAGTTACAGTAACATAATGAATAATGATTTTTGTTTTAAATCATAAGTTCTACAAACTCTCTTCTAAATGATTTCAGGTCAATGAAAGTCTGTTTTATTAGCACAAATTTCCAGTTCCCATAAATTCACTTAAATAATTTTTACTTAATTCATTATATATTTGGTATAGGAAAAGTCATGATGGCCCATATAAACTTGAAGACATTTACCTCTTCATGAGTATTAAATTCCCATACCCATTTTAGAAAAGTTTTAATTTAACCTAAATCTGTACAGAATGGAAATTTATAATTTGGAGCTGACCTTGTGGTTAAAGGAGCTGGATCCCATATGGTGCACCATGGTTTAAATCCTGATCCTGGTCTGAATGCCTTGAGAAACACACCAAGTACATGTGCATGTATGCCCTGAATTCCAACAAGATGGTGAAATGAGAAAAAATTGTGGTATGAACACACCCACTGGAGGGTGTTTTCGCTGTCTCACTCTGGCAAGCATACACCCTCTGGCAATTACAAATTAAAAAAAAAGAAAAAGTAAAGAATAGAAAAGAAAGGGGCCAGCAGGTGGCAAGGTGGTTAAGATGCTGGAGATTCCCACATGGTTGACCTTGGTTCACATTTCCGACCTAGTGACTTGCTTTCTTGCTTTCATTCCCCACCCTTATCTCCCCACTCCCGTGTGTATCTTTCTCTGGTAAAATGAAAATGAATGAATGAATGAATGAATGAATAATTTAAAAAAATAAAAGAACGTGAAAGTCACAAAATGCTATCACCTTAACATAATTAGTTCACAATTCGTCAGGTTAATTTCACATTTTACATAGTCACTGTCATGATGTATATAATATTTTGTACTACACTGCTTTAATGTCATATTATGGGATTCAGTGTGAATATAGGGTGCCCCGTTCTTGTTTTCAATAACAGAAGCGTTAGATAGGACAGCCAGTACCTATAATTTCCTGATGAATTTCTCGGTGGTACTTTGTAGGCTTTTAATACTGACTCATGTTATGGCACTTGATGTTTGCTATATGTAATGTTAATGGTGTTCACACCTAGATCCCTTCTTTACAAACTATTATAGATTATGAGTGGTTTTCACAATCAGAGGTTAGTATTATATAATACATACATATATATATATATATATTAGTGAAATAATATGGAAATTTGGGCTTATAAATGAAATGTCGTGAAAGAAACCTCCTTTTTACCCTTAAAATCTCAGCGTACAGCAAGACCCCCATTTCAGGGGGAAATTATTATAATTATCAATTATCTGCTACTAGAATGATACTCATTTATGTATAGTTTTCATGTGTATATAGTAATTAGCCACTAGTTGAAACTCTCCCTTATCTTGGGTTTTTCTTTTAAAGATTTGTGAGGTGTGTGGTGGTTAAGGGAGCTAAATTCCTACATGGCCAACCATGGTTCGAGTCCTGGACCTGATGGCTTGCTTTCTCACTTTCTCTCTCTCTGTCCCTCTCTGATCAAATTAAAAAATAAGTAAATTTAAATAAAATATTTCTAAAAAAAAGATTTGTGAGGTCTTATTTCCTTCTATTTAATGTCTCTATTTGTGTGAATAATGTCATTACAAATCTTAGAATGAATCTCAATAATTAAATGATTTGCCAATCAGTAACTATTAATCCATAATTGCTTTTTAAAAAAGAATTATTTATTTATTAATATTATTATTATTTTAACTTAACCAGAGAGAGACAGAAAGGGAAAGTGAGAAAGCTAGCCACCAGGTCTGGGACGCTAACCATGGTCAGCCATGTGGGAATCCAGCACCTTAGCCACCATACCACCTGCCAGCCTCCCTAAATAAGATTTTTAAAGAATTATTTTATTTAACTTTATTTATTTATATTGATTTGAGCAGAGAGGGAGAGAGAGAGAGAGAGAAAGAAAGAAAGAAAGAAAGTGAGAAAGCAAGCCTCCAGGTCCAGGATTCAAACTGCAATCAGTCATGTGGGAGTCCAGTGTTCTTAACTACCACACCACTTGCTTGTCACCCTAAATGGTTCTTAATACCCTCATCCTTGTCTTTGCAGAATGATAAAAAGATTTTCTAATGTTTTTCTTCCTTTTCTCCTTTTATTTCTTTTAAAGAAATGCAGCCGCATTTTTTTAGGAACATTGTTTTGACAGGAGGAAATTCCCTTTTCCCAGGCTTTAGAGATCGAGTTTACTCAGAAGTTCGATGTCTTACTCCAACAGATTATGATGTTTCTGTTGTCTTGCCTGAAAAGTAAGTGTTGGTTTTTATAGAAACAAAACTTGAAGGTCATCTTGTAAATAAAGAAATACATAGGCAGACTTGAGTTTAAAGCCTGGTTCTGTTGTGTTGGTGGGTTTATTTCACCTGTTGGACCCTCATTTTCCTTCTCTCAAATTGAAATAATTTATAGTTCAGTGAATTAAATGGGATGAAGTATATAATGGGTGCTCAGATAACATAAGATCACTTACATCCAGTAAATCAGTCCTTGTTCCTAAAATTTTGTATAAGCAAAGCATTCAGTTTATTATGTATTTCATTTATCTGAGACATGTCATTTCTTGACAACTTCTATCAAGAATAGAAATGTAAGAATTGAATGAGTAAGGAGTCAGCAAGTGGTGTGGTGGTTAAGGTGCTGAACTTCCACGTGGCTGACCATGGTTCAGGTCCCAGATCTGGTGGCTTGCGAAATTTCTCACTTTCTCTTTCTTTCTCTCTCTCTGTCTCTCTAGTCAAAGTAAAAGATAGATAATCATAACAAATAAGTAAATAAATATTTAAAAAAATTTTTTTGATTGATTAAGATGAATTATATTATGCCAGCCCCATAGCCTAGTGATTAAGAGAAATGGATCTCAAATAGCTGACCATGGTTAAAATCCCAGCACTGGTGGCTTGAAAAACATGCCAGCCCATGTGCATGTGCAACCAAAATCCCTACAGGATGGAGAAATGGAAAAGGGACCGTGGTGTGACCATGCCTCACTGGGGTTTCCTTCCTCTTTTTCTCTCTGTTTCTCTCTGGCAAGTGCATGTACCCTCTGACAACTAAAACAAAAACAAAAAAGATAAGTTATGTCAATTCATAAGTTTTTTTTTTTTATTTTAAAATTCTTAAGTTTTTGTTTTGTTTTGTTTTGAAGATTTTTTTGCCATAGGATGTGTATGCTTGCCAGAGAGACAGAGAGGGAAAGTGAGAAATCATTCCCCCGGGGCAATGGCCATGCCTCAATCCCTTCTCCTCTATTATCCTGTTGGGATTTGGGGCACATATACACATATGCCCAGCAGCCATATGGGATCCAGGGCCTTAACCATCATGCCACCTGTTGGCCCTAAATATTTTAAATAAACTTTCATATTTAATTGTCTTTTATATATATATGTGTGTGTGTGTGTATGTGTATACACACACATATTTATATTTATATTTATAGGCTTTTAACATAGGGTATATGTACTTATTGGAGGGAGAAACGAAGAGAGAACAAGAGAAATCATGCCCCTGGGGGGAATGGCCATGTCACAATCCCTTCTTCTTCATTCTCTTCTTAGGATTTTGGGCACACATACCCCACATGAGTTTTATGCCACTGGGTCTGGGACTCAAACCACATTTGACCACAGGGAGTCCAGTGTTTTAACCACCATCCCACCTGTTGGCCCCAATTGTCTTTATTTTTGTATTAAAAACTTTTAGAAAAAAAAATTTAAAGAATTATTTTATTTATCTTCATGTATTTATTTATTTGAATTTGACCAGAGAGAGAGAGGGAAAGTAAGAAAGCAAGCTACCAGGTCCAGGATTTGAACCACAGCTGGCTACCTGCCAGCCCCAGAATTCTTTTGTTATTACTATTGGGCACATGTATGTACCAGAGAAAGATAGAGAGAAAAATAGAGGGAAAGTGAGAAATTACTCCTGAGGGAGATGGCCACACACAACCCCTTCTCCTCCATCTTCCTCTTGGGATTTTGGGCATGCACACACATGTACCCAGAATGATTTTCAAGCTGCCAGGTCTAAGACTCTAACCATGCAATTGGCTTTGTGGGATCCAGTCGACTTAACCTCCAGCCATCCGCTGGCCCCCAAAACTTTCATATATATCCCCTACCCTATTTTTGTTTAATTTACTGTAGGACACATGTGCTCGCCAGAGGGAGGGAGGAAAAGTGAGAAATCATTCCTGAGGTGGGACGTGACCTCACTGCAGTCTCTTCTCCATTCTCCTCTTGGAATTTCGGGTATGCACACTCACATGCCCTGCGTGTTTCTCAAACCACCAGGTCCAGGACTTGAACATGTAGTCGACTATGTGGGATCCAGCTTCCTTTACCACCAGGCTGCTGGCTGGCCCACATATTGAATTTTTATCCTGCTTGTACACGTTATAGACAAAGGAAATCACAGAAATAACTTTTATTATTTCATTTCATCAATCTTTATTGCACATATAATGCTTTCAAATAAATACTTTTTGTATATTTATATATAAACCTATTTTTATGAAATGTTTGGAAGTGTACTAAATACAATCAGGAAAAGATTTACTGGGTCAGCTGATAGTGTGGTGGTTATGGCATTTGGAGCCTACATGTCCAACTATGCAGTTCAAGTCCCAGACCTGGCAGCTTGACAAATACTCTGGGCACGTGTGCATATGTGCCCCAAATCCCAAGAAAATAGAGGACAAGAGATTGTAGTGTGACCAGCCCTACTTTGGGGTGCTTATCTCTCTGTGTCTCTCTGGTTAGCATTCATGCCCTATAGTAATTTACATACACACACGTGCTCACATGCACACATGAAAACATTTACTGATTATTTTTTTCTTTACAATTTCCATACTTGAAACTCTGGGGGAGAGACTCTGGGGGAGAGCAACAGTAGAAATAGAATTGAGTCATAATGCAAAGTGTAACCTTGGTTATAGATAGTAAACCAAACAAAATGTTTTATATGTTCTAATGTTACCTTTTGTCTGCTCTACGGCATTGTTTATTGTGCACAGTATTTTCTAAATGTTTCACTTATTAGTGGCAACAAAGCATAAGCAGCAGAAGGAAAAGTCATGGGTTGAATCCTTTTCCCTGACTCTTATTTTTCATTTTTCAAATCTATAAAATGGAGGTTGTAATAGCTATTTCATGGTTGCTGTGAGAGCAAATGACAAATGAATTTAGACTTTATGCTGACAGTGTTTTTTCTTTTAGGCACCTTTTGATCTTGTGTTTGTATATGTTCAGTATCCCTTACCTGAAAAATTTGGACGCACAAGTGTTTTGGATTTCAGGTTTTGAAATATTTGCATATACACATGAGATACCTTGTGGGGGGAGACACCCATATTTTAGGAGCAAATTCATTTATGTTTCATATCTGATACATATAGCCTAAATTAATTTTATTATTTTTGATTTACAGCATTTTGACTATACCCCATCACATGGTCAATATGGAATTTTCCACTTGTGGATGCCATATTTACACTCAAAAAGTTTTGGATTTTGAAGCATTTTAGATTTTAGATTTTGGGATTAGGAGTGCTCAACCTGTATTCTTGTTTCATTAGAAGTAGAGGGTCCATAAATTCAGGACATAAGGGAAAATAACACTATCTTGTATTGGTGACCAAGATTCCTTTCTTTTCAAGTTCATTCTGCTCACATGAAATTTGTTTATTTCTGCACCTTAAATAATTTCTGTTAAATTAGGGTGGGTAGAACTTGCACATGTTAGCTAGTAACTAATGTTTCGGTTCATTTCCATGTTTGCTGGTGGTTTCTGTAAAATCACCTGGGTTCACTTATTTTATCTTTGTTTCCAGCCCTATTACATATGCCTGGGAAGGTGGAAAACTGATATCAGAGAATGACGATTTCGAAGATATGGTGGTTACAAGAGAAGATTATGAAGAAAATGGACATAGTGTCTGTGAAGAGAAATTTGATATTTAAGAAACATTTCTGAACGAAAGTCTTGACTAGTTGTGACTGGAAGGTTTAATTTCAGTGTTCTTTTTAAAGGAGGTTAAGGACCTGTGTGTGTTACCTTTCATCCTAAGATAAAGTCTTGATCTTATGTAAATACTTTGATCTATGGCTAATTTTCTAAGGCTTTCCAGCTAGGTTAGTGCAGTAAACTGTAACTAAGCCTAGATTTTCCTTTAGGGGCTAGACCACCATACAATGCTTATGCTGTTCCTGAGAGTAGATTTATTTTTCATTAGAAGAAGAGTGACTGCATTTTAAATTTAGTTCTTTATAGCTAATGGTACAAACTTCACTGATTCACTGGTCAGTTTTCCTTAAAAGGTAGTTCTGTGTGACTTTGACTAGGAATTGGCCAAACTGTTTTTCAGGCTGTTATGATTTCTCTCTTTGTATGTTTAGAACTAAGTATTTTATTTAAAGATTATCATTCTTATTTATACATATTAAAATGGGAAAGACTAATCTTATGCAGGTGTGTGTATGTGTGTGTGTGTGTGTATGTGTTTTGTTTTTTTACTTAGTACATTTGACAGAGTGAAGACTTTTCAAGCAAATTTACTGAAGTCTTTTTGGTCAGTACTATGTTAGCAGAAATATATTCTTTCACTAAAAAAAGTATTACGCTCGGTCTTTTTTGGTTTTCTTTTTGTTTTTAGTTTTTGCTATAGGGTGGGTACACTTGCCAGAGAGAGGAAGTGAGAAAGTCCCCCTAGGGAGATGGCCACTCTGCAGTCCCTTATGCTCCATTTTCATCTCAGGATTTTGGACATGTACACACACATGCCGCACATGTTTTTCAGGCTGCTGGGTCTGGGACTTGGAACTGTGCAGCCGGGCTTGTGGCATCCAGTCACCTTAACTTCTGCACCATCCACTGGCCCTTTTACACTTTTTTAAAAATGAAAATAAATTTTTATTTTTAAATTTGAAGGCCTGCGGCAAGCAGGTGACATAGAGGTTAAGACAGCTGGATCCCACGTGGCTGACTGCGTGGTTTAAGTCCTAGACCCCATGGCTTGAAAATCACCCTGTACGTGTGTGTCTGTCCAAAATCCCAACAGCACAGAAGAGAAGGGACTGTAGAGTGGCTGTCCCTCGGGGTGGGGGTGGGGGTGCTTTCTTTCTGTCCCTCTCTGGAGAGCACATGCCCTACAGCAAACTAAAGAAAAAGAAATTTGCTGGTAACCCAGTGTTGCTCCGAAACTCTGGATACAATGCTGGGAACATGGAACCAAATGCCCAAGGTTCATCAGGCTGAAGGGTTAGAGAGGAGACTGGCATGACCAGATGCTGTGGAAGGTACTCTTCTCTTTTTGAACCTTCTTTTTCATGTTTGCACCCATGTACTCTAACGTGAATAAAGGGGGGAAATTTTAAATAAACAACTCCATATAAGTGTCAGTGTTGTTTTTAAAACTTTTTATACAAACCACAGTAAACGTCAGGTGTTAAAGGCCACAGTTTCGATAATGAACGGATCAGGCAGGCTTCTTGATTACAAGCAGTAGAAAAACTCACTGGGGCTTTCTTTATTACAATATAATTTATCAGCAGGACAGCCTATAAAATCTAACACAAAGCTGAACTAAAGGCCTTAGCAAAGAGCACAACCAGAGTAATTTTCGAAATCTAGGTTATAAAGACTGAAGTACGGCCCTTCCAGACCCCTACCATCAGAGTATTTCAACTTCTACATTTTCTACTTTATGTCATTGTGCTCAAATTCCTAGTAATCGGTGGCTTGAGGAGCTTTGATTGACAATTCTCCTAAGATGACCTAGAGTCATAGAAGATAGTTTCCCAAAGGAAAATGGATGCTGGGCAAGGTAAAATGTGACCTTTACAATCATATTTGGATTTCATGTGGTTAGGGCCTGCCTGGTCAGTCCTTTCTAACCTTCAACTTGTTATCACTAGAGTTACAAAGTGACTGTGATACCTGGTATGAAAAGATGCTGGTGGCATAAAAGAAGTTAGTATAATCACACAGTGTAGTTGCTAGAATTTCAAGAGTGGTTAGAGATAAAAAAGGTAAGTCCTTATTTAGAGGGCTTTCCTTGACTTGGCAGGACCTCATCCTAGATAGGGAAAGGCCATCATCACCGCCAGGTGTTTCCCTGTGAGGAACTGGGTCATTCCTCAAAGCTGCCATCATAAAGATGATGTCTCCTATTAGTCTGCTAAAAATGGGGTGTGGGTGTGTTTCACACGCATACTTCAGAAAGCTGATTTCTATACAATTTATGTCTTGTACTGATTTTGAGACACAGTAAGTTGACTTTTGAAAATACTGAATCCTTTGTCACTAGCATCAAAGCTTCCATCCATTTTAATTTCTCCCTAATTTTAAAACTTTACTGCTAGTGAAATGATTGAGCTTCAGGGCAGACAGTACACATAAATTAAAAACAATAACATGAGATATTAATTTGGAAAAAATATTGTTGAGTTCAGTGGTAACTGGCGGAACATACCAAGTTCTACCTGTCCCAAATTCTATTACACATTTCCAGTGGGGCAAAAAGGGAAGTAAACACAGGGAGGACCACAGTGCTCTTTGTAAGGTATTGGATAAGTGGGTATTCATTTTTATTAAAATCTATGTGGTATATATTACTTCATACTTTGTTAGAAGATTAAATCTGTAAGTGATTCTATGAAATAAAAAGGGCACCACTGATATTGCACATGTGGTGGAATTTTTAAAAGACAGAAAAGAAATGAAATTAGGTTGTTGGAAAAAACACCCTAAGGCGGCCCATGTCCCATGCTGACCCTGTAGCATAGTAGTTAAAGGAGGTTGATGCCACATGGCTATCTGGTTCGAATCCCAGCCCCAGAGGCTCAAAAAGCTCTCTGGACAAGTAAGCATAGAGGTTCCAAATCCTAGAAAGAAAAAATTCAAACTTGGTTCACAGACAGTTCTACATGATATGGCTGGTGCCTGAAGTGGTATACTGGAGCATGCCAGTGTCACATAGAGGTACCATACATACAGCTTCCACCAGGGTCCTGCAGCAAGCTGGGAACTGTTTCTCAATAATGCTCGAGGATACCACTTTGCTCCAAACACCAAGGGATACTCTTGAGTATCATCATTAAGTTCTATGCGTTAAAATGTCCAGATGGTAGAGTGTGTCACAGCACAGTCAGGAATAGCTAGTCTTTTGCTCCGAGCCTGCATCTTGTAGATCTATGAAAACTGGTTCTAGAGCATATCCAAACGTGGCTTTGCTGCTGCCAGTTCTGAAGAGGCCCACCAAGCATTGTGCGTCAATTACGTAATTGCAAGATGAGGCAATGTGTCTTTCACAATGGAGGGAATACTTCCAGCTTGCCTCAGGCCCTTGGTACTCCAGAACTTTAGTTAAGATGGTAGTCCCTGGGCCCAGCTGGTAATGTGGTGGTTAAGGTAGCTGAATTCCAAACGGCCTACTTTTCCATTCAAATCCTGGACTCAGTGGCTTAACAAATATGCTGGGCAAGTGTGCGTGCATCCCCAGAATCCCAAAGAAGGAGAAATGAAGAAGGGATTGTGGTGCGATTATCCCACACGGGGGTTGCTTTCAAACCCCACCCTCCTCCTGCCCCCATCCCTCTCCAGAGCACATATGCACATTCAGACAAATTAAAACACACACACACACACACACACACACACATACACACACACACAAACAAAAACAAGCTAAGGCTTCATTCATTGTATGTAAGAGGGACTCCAGGAGATTTTGCTGGACTACACTTTGAGAAACACTGGCCTAGAAGATGAGGGATGAAGTAGTTAATAAAATAGCCTACTGTGGGGGCCAGCAGGTGGTGTGATAAAGATGCTGGACTTCGGGACCAGCAGTTAGCGTAATGGCTATGTCACTGGACTCCCATGTAGTCGACCACAGTTCGAGTCCCAGACCCGGTGGCTTAAACTCACGCCGGGTGTGTGTGCGTGCATGCCCAAGATCCTGAGAGGAGAATGGAGGAGAAGGGATTGTGGCGTGGCCATCCCCAATAAGGGGTGATTTCTCGCTTTCTATTTCTCTATCTTTGTCTGGTGAGCGAATGCACCCTATAGCAAAAAACCTCTCCAAAAAAAAAATGATGCTCGACTTCCACATGGCCGACAACAGTTAGAGTCTGGGACCCAGTAGCTTGAAAATCATAGCAGGAGGGACCAGCAGTTAGCGTAATGGCTATGTCGCTGGACTCCCACATAGTCGACCGTGGTTCACATCCCGGACCTGGTGGCTTAAAACTCACGCCAGGCGCGTGTGCGTGCGTGCCCAAGATCCCGAGAGGAGAATGGAGGAGAAGGGATTGCAGCATGGCGATCCCCCATGGGGGGTGATTTCTCGCTTTCTGTCTGTCTCTCTCTGTTTGGCGAGCGCACGTGCCCTATAGCAAAAACCTCTTAAAAAAAAGAAAAAAGAAAAGAAAATCACAGCAGGTGCATGTGCATACATACCCAAAATTTCAAGAAGAGAATGGAGGAAAAGGGATTACTGTGTGACCATCCCCCTGGGGGAAATTTTTCACTTTCCCTCTCTCTGTCTCTCTCCAGCTAGTGCATGTACCCTATGGTAAAAACCTTAAAAAAAAAAAAAAAAAGCCTATTCTGCAACCAGCAATGTATAAATAATATAATTTACTCCTCACTACAACAATTGTATACTATCCACATTTTGCAAATGTCAGCCAATGAGCTAGCCCCATTGGCTAGTGGTTAAAGGAAGTGAGATCCTACACAGTTGACTGCAGTCCAAGTTCTGGCCCTGGTGGCTTGAGAAACACAATGGATGTGCATGCATGTCCCAAATTCTAACAGAATGAAGAAATGGAGGTGAAGGGATTGTGGTGACAACACCCCATTGAGGGGTGCTTTTTCCCTCTCTTTCTCTCTCTCTAGCCAGTGCACATATTCTCTGATAATTAAAAGAAAGAAAGAAATTCAACCTAAAAGGTAAACTGAGGCAAAGCATGTAAAGCAAAAAAAGTTTATTTGATGGGACCAGCAGGTGGTATGATGGTTAAGGGTTCTGGACTCCCACATGGCCAACCACAGTTCAGGTCCTGGACCTGGCAGCTTGCTTTCTCACTTTCCCTCTCTCTTTCTCTTGTTCTCTGTCTCTCGTCAAATTGAAATAAATAAATAAAGTTAAATAAAATAATTCTGGGACCAGCAGATGGCGGAATTGGCTATGTCGCTCGACTCCCATGTAGTCAACTGCCGTTCAAGTCCCAGATCTGGTGGCTTAAACTCAGGCCAGGCACGTGTGCATGCATGCCCAAGATCCCAAAAGGAGAACGGAGGAGAAGAGACTGCAGTGTGGCCATCCTCCCTGGGGGGTAATTTTTTGCTTTCTGTCTGTTTCTCTTTGTCTTTCTGGCAAGCGCACGTGCCCTATAGCAAAAACCTCTCTAAATAAATAAATAAATAATTCTTAAGGAAAAAAATTTATTTGGACCAAGTTTGAGGACTGCATCCCAGGTAGACATCCTCAGATTGCCCTGAACATGAGTACTGAGGTACTCTTCAGGCAAGTTTTAAAGGCAAAACCCACAACCAGTAGGTAGGGAGAAGTAGGGTGTTATGCCAATTATTTTGAGACAATTATCCTAGG